GTGTGTGAAGGGAATCAGTAGACCAGTGCCCTGCACCTAATGTAACTATTATGCAGGCTTAGACATTCATTCATTCCTGACCCCCTTCTCATAATATGTCCTCGTCATGGTGCTGAATTTCTGACTTGTATTCCTGCTGGATGGGATGGGATATGATGGGATGCCTGATTCCAGAATTGCGAATTAGCCCACAGCTACTTGCATTATAATTATCAGTCCATCCATGCTTTATCAGTATGCGAAAACCCAAACTCTATAACACCCTTTTGCCTGCTCTATCTCTTGTTTTTATGGCACCGGAGAGTTTGCCAGCTTTTTCCTATAGCTAGGCCAACACGATTAGCAAAAGCCTCAGGTGGGGACCCTGGATCCAGCTAGCATGACTGCACCTACCCATCCATCCTAACACCCTATAGCTAAACACCCTAAACACCCTAACAACACGAGAAGAACAAGTGTAGGTAGGAGTACACATCAACCAAGCCGGGATCCGATCTGCCTGGATCGAACAGGCGACCTAAGGATATCAGCATCGCATCTTTCGATTACAGTCCTTCGCTCTTCCAGCTGAGCTAAGATCGGGAGCATGGTGCTCAACGCGTATCGAGACCAGGTTTCGATCCTGGGACCTCGGGGTTATGAGCCCCGCACGCTTCCGCTGCGCCATCTCGATTCTCATGTGCACACCTACCTTCAACTCTCGCCAGAACTCGTGGATCGTGGATGCCCGACAAGCAGCTCCAACCAAAAGCGTGTATAGGTCTTGCTCTAAAAGGGGGGGAGTTGTAAAAGTTTATCATTGTGATAGAGGATTGGTGGTTGTGATGTCGCAGGCTCAATTCCCACTCAGCACATTATGATGACACTTCAAATCCATGGGATGAACCTTGCTGTCATTGAATCCAAGCCAAAACAGAGTACAACTTGTACAGTACAAGACATGTGCCAGAGCATATCTGAAGTGGGCTCCAGGAAAGAAGGGATGGTAGACAACGCCAAAATCACATGCTCAAAGTCGGTTTCAGAACAGACAGGCAATACATATAGGGATTCAAAAACTCTACACATCTCTAGATAGGGGCTGCATACACATATATAACATAACACAATTCTGAAGACAATTAGCTGTCCTCGACACTTTCATCCCTTATTGCATGTTGGGCGATATTCATGGCCATTATTATTGTTACATTATGCCATAGGTTCATCCTTAGGGCAAAGGCTCTCTTCAATGTTGTCCAGAATGTAACATATACATAAAAGTGAGCACAAGGATGGGGACCACCTCTGGGAGCCAAGGGGGCCCATGGATGGTCAGAAGCCATTACGGTGGTACTCAGCATGGATCTTGAGATCCTCTAGAGGATCTCCCGCTCCCCTGGGCTCAATGCGCCTGCGTGTGATGTACCCAGTCTGTGATGTCCAAGACCTCCTCGAGAAAACAATTGCAAGCCGCTGCAATAGGTCGGCGACATACACATACACATGGTATGTGCATGTCCAAATGTTTGTGCATGTACATGCACCTAGACACATGTGTTTATGTGTTTATGTGCGTGTGTGCGTGTGTGTGTGTGTGTGTGTGTCTGCTGGATACATGTATTCTAATCCAACGAGTGTATGGTGCTCCCTACAAATCTCTTAATCATGGAGCTATGGATTTGGTGCTAGCACCTTTGAATGCAAGCTAAGGTCGGTTATGATGGATGGAGAGCTGTACTTGCACTACTGCACTCACAGAGTGCACTAATAAAAAAACCTGGCATATGTAATCCTGTTTGTGGCCAGCCGTGTACACGCATGACGATGGATGACATATGTACACATATACATGCATACACATATGCTGTATTGCACTTTATTTGCAGTCCCTCACTTGTTTGCTTGTCTCCCTGCTGTGTGCGTGTGCCTTTGCATCTATTTGCACAGGACAGAGCACTTTAAAGTTCACTACACCATAGCATTCATTCCTTCCTGCCTGGGTGTTATTGGCATGCAACAATGCACCTAATACCCAGGACATACACTTGGACCTGCAACCAGCACACACGCGCTTCGGGCATGTGGGACAACAAATTCGAAGTAGGTATGGAGGATCGCGCACATGCATGGGGGCGTGCATGCACTAATGAAGGCAGTGAGATGCCTGTGG